TTACAACACGCAGGTCATGAAATACACAGACTTAACTAGGATAGAGAGCCAAAGTTTTTAGGAGCAGGCTAACACGTTCACATTTGTGTCTGAGAAAAATACTTCTGGGAACTGCATCTACAATAGACTTAAAAAAAAAAAAAAAAGGTTGTTTAATTGCAAGGCTAGGAACAGAAAGACTATTCTAATAGCCAAGTGAGTGCTAATGGGGCCTGAATGAGGCAAATGATAGCAAGAAGAAGGGCAGAATAAGGAGGTAATCAGGAGGTAGAACAAAAATCAATAGTACATGGACACAGAATCAAGGAAGAGATTACAGTGGCAGGAGAAATAGACGTGCAGCCGAGGAGTCCAGACAGATGGTGAGAAAGAGACTAGAGTATGGGTGAACTTGGGGAGGAAGTTAATGGATTCAGGTTTAGAATAGGAAGTTTTGATGAAGAAAGAGCAGAAATCCCAGAAGACTACCTAACAATCAGCCCACGTCAAATACTTCTTTTATATTATGATCCCTCTGGAAACCAGGACAAGACAGTCTTCATTCTGGGTGAAGATGGATAATCGTCTTGTCTCTCTGAAAACGTTTATAGTTATTAAGGTTGTGTAATAATTCAACTTCTTTTTAGGGTAAGCGATTAAACTGCCTTTTAAAATAAACAGATACAAACCTCTACCTCATACTGTAACACAAAAATTAATTGGAGGTGGATCACAGATGTAAATATAAAAGCTAACGCCATAAAGCTTTAGAAGAATATATGAGTATCTTCACAATCTGGGGGTGGGCAAAGATTTCTTAGAATACAGAAAGTACTAACCAGAAAAGAAAAAACTGACAAATTGAACTTAAAATTAAAAACTGATCATCGGGGCACCTGGGTGGCTCGGTTGGTTAAGGGACCGCCTTTGGCTCAGGTCATGATCTTGGGGTCCTGGGATTGAGCCCCGAGTTGGGCTCCCTGCTTAGTGGAGAGCCTGCGTCTCCCTCTCCCGCTGCCACCCCCCACCCACCGCCCCAGCTCTTGTGCACGTGCGTGCTCTCTATCTCAATCTGTCTCAAAACAACAGCAACAAACTTCTTTTCATCAAAATATATGATTAAGAAAATGGGTAGACAGCCACATGCTGGGAGAAAACATTCACAAAATGGATCTTTAACAAACGACCAGGATCCAAAGTATATAAAGAGATCTTACAAATCATTAAGAAAAAAAAAGATAAAAACCAATTTTAAAATAGGCAATAAATAGCACTTCACAAAGGAAGATATGTGACTGGCCAATAAGCAAAGATAAACTGTTCCACATCATTAGTCATAAGGGAAACGTAAACTAAGGCTACCACGAGCTACAACTATATCCCTACCAAAATGACTAAAATTAAAATGACTGACCACACCAAATGTTGACAAGGATGTGGTACAACTGGAACCTCATACGTTGCTGGCTGGAGTATAAAATGGCAGACCAACTTTGGAAAATTGCTTGGCAGTTTCTTATGAAGTTAAACGTACTTATATCCAATAACCAGCAATTCCACTGCTAGGTATTCACTCTAGAGAAATTAAAACATACGTCCACAAAAAGTCTTGTGCAAGAGGGGTGCGTGGGTGGATCAGTTGGTTAAGCTACCTTCGGGTCAGGTCGTGATCTCTGGGTCCTGGGATCAATGGACTCTGCATGGGGCTTCCTGCTCAGCAGGTAGTCTGCTTCTCTCTCTCTCTCCCTCTGCCCCTCCCCACTGCTCATTCTCACTCAAATAAATAAATAAGGTCTTTATTAAAAAAAAAAAAAAGTCTTGTGCAAGAATGTTCAGAGCAAGCTTTAACCATGATAGCCGCAAACTGGAAACAACCCAAATGTCCATCATCTGGCAAATGGATAAATTGTGATTTATTCATACAATAAAATAATACTCAGCAATATAAAGCATCAAGCTATTGATGTACTCCAATTAACATGAATGAATTTAAAAGACGTTAATGCTAAGTGAAAGAAACCAGACACAAAGGAATACATACAGCATAATCCCATTTATAGGAATAGGTAAAACTCTCCTTCAGGGTGGAGGCAGGGATTGACTGGGAAGAGACACAAGGGAACTTTCTGGAGTTTTGGAAATGTTTTCTAGGTGTGTGGGTTACACAAAGTGCATGCATTTGTCAACTCAATGAACTGTAGGCTTCTGTGGATGTCACCATATGTAAATTATGCCTCATTAAAAGGAAAAATAAACAAAAAATGATCTCTAATATAAATACCTAAAATCAATATGCTTTATTACTAGACCGAAGGAAACCTTTGTTATTCTAAGGCAAAAACAAAACACACCCACAACTTTTAAAAGGTAAAAACAAGTGGAAACCGGCCGACTAAAACATCACACGGACCACAAACCAACCGTGGGACTGTATGCAAATCACTTAAGCAGTCTGGGCCTCTATTTTCTCATCTATAAAACAGGGATTAGAAAATCCACCTCACGAGACAAACCATTAGAGACGACGGACTCTGAAAAACAAACTGAGGGTTCTAGAGGGGAGGGGGGTGGGGGGATGGGTTAGCCTGGTGATGGGTATTAAAGAGGGCACATTCTGCGTGGAGCACTGGCTGTTATGCACAAACAATGAATCATGGAACACTACATCAAAAACTAATGATGTAATGTATGGTGATTAGCATAACAATAAAATAAAAAAAAAAAGAAAATCCACCTCACCAGGAATATGTAAAAATTAATCATATGCAAAGAACCTGGTATAGTACCTGGCATGCAGGGCCTTAGTAAATGGTAGTGGGGTAGGAAACAGCAATTACAAAATTCATAAAAAAGATCCCCTTTACCCTTCTGGTATAATAGGCAATTATTTATTAATTTAAAGATGAGTTTTATTTTAATATCTCCCCACAGCCCTATCCTTTTTTCATGAAAACTCTCCGTTGGATAACTGACCCTATGCCATCCAGACGGCTGGTGGGGGGAGAGGGAGAGGTGCCTTGCTCTTCAGTGACCCTGCTCCCTCATCTCAAAAATGTTCATGTGAAACGAAGTTTTGAGTAATCAAATTAGATGTAAAGGTATGAGTGAAACTCACAAGTCTAAATTGTTTTATGAAATGCAAAAGACTTCTTATGAAGGGTATCAGTACTAGAGCCAGGTTTCCCATTTATCAGGTTTACGTAAGGTAGCATCCTTCCACCTGCTAGAAAGCTTTCTAATCATCTTTCAAAAGGCCATGCTGTTTCCAAATGCTACAACACGCAAAGCAACAACTACTTTCCACAAAAAGCATGTTCAAACAGTAGACAAAGCTTGCAGAGTACTCTCCTTTTATCACACCAATGCTGTCTGCTTGGATTACAGCCAACAACAGGGCTCAAGTAGATTTATCTTTCCTGTAGATCGTGTAAGTACATTTGCCTAATGCAGTGCCCTAGATTTTACAAATTACATTTGCTCGTGTACTTGCAAGTCTGCAGTTTTGAACATTTTCAAGGAGGACACAAGACATTTACATACAATAGTCGGTCTTGACCATCAATAAAAGGCCTATTTTGAGGCCACCTACTATCCTTTTGCTGTAATTTAAAATTTCTGCAAAGCATTTCTTGGCTTTTAGCAGAGTCCGTGTTGAGCCAAGATGCTGATGTTCTGTCTGCATTCAGACCGCAACAAAAAGAATCCACACATACCAAAGATCTGTTTGAAAGCTCTTAAGGCCAAAAAATGTCTATTGTGTGACCCGTGATAGGCACCAACTAAAGGAAACTTGAAACTATAAATAGCGCAGAGAACACCGTAGGCCTGGGGGAAAATGTTTTGCTTAAAACGGCACAACGACACAATTCGACACGACGTCCATATTATATCGAAAAAGTGAATGTGAACAAAAAAACTCTGATGATTAAGAAGAATTTATTCTCACTAAAAAGTTCAATATGCCATTTTAGTACCATTATTTCCTTAGGACGCAGTAGTATTCACTGCACAGTGGCTCGGGTCTAACTCTCCATCATGATGTCACAAAAACCGAAATGCAACGGAATCCGACTCAGTGTTGGTGCATGCAGTCCAGGGGTGCCAACAATCAACCTGGAGCAGGCACGGGGCCAAAAAGACTCCATCAGGTTTCCTCACTGCCCCTGATAATCACTGCGCCCCATACAAACAAGTCCTTAAAAGCTCCAACCTAAAAAAACAAAAAGCAGATTTGCTGGCGGTGTCTGCTAAGGTAGAGGGGTCACCTGTCAATGCGCAGGAAAATAAGTGGGTGTAAAAATGGCTTCCCCGGGAGGACTGAAACGCAGTAAATCACAAGCAAATCCCTTTCTAGAGTAACGGCTTTACACTAGACCTGTGGAGGGACTCAGGCACCGAGCGTGCCAAGAACGCCCCAACCGTTTCTCCTCGGGACGCGAACGCGCGCAGGAGACCCGACAGCAAAGGCGAGCCCAGATGCCGGCAGGGAGAATGGGAGAATGGGCATGCCCGGGCTGCAAGCCCGACCGCGGGGGGGGGGGGGGGGGGGCCGAAGAGGGCAGAATGCTCTCCGTTACCCCCACGACCCTGTCGCGGCCCGTCAAAACACAAAGCCCAACGGGTGGGGAAAAGAAAGAAAGGAATGGAAAACACGTGGTCCGCAGATCCGATGGGGGCTCCCGGGCCGCCAGGTGCACTTCTACCGGAAGCGGCGGACGCGGTGGCGGCCGCAGCCTACACCGCCCCCAACTCCGGGCCCGGGCCGGACCCCCGCCACAGGTTGGCCGAGCCGGGGATCGCGGACAGGCTCGCGCAGAGAATTAAGTTTCTAATAATACAACTTTAGGCGGATTAGCGCCGGCGTCGCCCAACACCGAGGCCGCACTTGCGGGGGAGGGGTGCAGGGCGCAGCGGGCGCGCGGGCGCGCGGGCCGGGGTCCCGGAGGAGAGTGGGATGGGGGGCTCGCGGCGCTGGCGCCTCCTCGCCGGCAGGTGCGCCCCCCGCGCGTCGCCGCGCTCACCAGGTACCAGATGCCGAGCAGGATGGTGCCGGTGCGGACATGGCAGCACAGGCAGCAGCTGTTGGAGTAGAACCGCGTCCAGGGCGCGACCATCTTCATCGCTCGGGCGGCGGGCGCCGTGGCGCGAGCGCGCGCCCAAGTTTGCAGGACCGTCGGCCGCGTCGCTCGGGGCTCCTTGCGCGGCTGCTGCCGGCTCCCCCGCCGCTCCCGCTGCGGTTCCGCTCGCCCGTTCGCCCGCTCGCCAGTGGCCCGCGCTCCGCGCCTCAGCCGAGAGCTCCGAGCGTCTGCAGCGGCCGGACCCTGCGCTCCGAAGGCGGCGGGAGGAGGAGGAGCGGGGGGCGGGGGGGAACGCGGGGGCGGGCCACGTGACCCGCGCCGGGGCCAGTGATGTCACCGCGGGGTCCAGCCAGCTGCGGGCGCCGCCGGCCGGGATAGATAAAATCAATCATCCTGCAAGCCCCCTCCCTCCGCACCCCCCCCTGCCCCCGGGCGGGTCCGGGAGCAGGCCCGCGGTGGACTTCCGGGCCTCCCCTCTCTCCTGTGGTCATTTGTGTAACTCTGTCACGGGTTTGAGATTCTTTTATAGTCTCTTTGGTTGTGGTTTCTCTCCTTCCACTTCTATTTTGCAGATAATCTGTAGATGCAAATGCTATCACTGTTATCCTTCGAACCGCTGCTGGAGCCACAGCAATTTGTCTCCGTTTCCCAGCTCAATTACTGTGGTAGTAACCTTTTTCCCAGAAAATAGGATGTGTGTCAAGGACATACGCGCTGTGCTTCGGGTAGCATTTTTAATCATGACGGCAGCTCTAGAGAAACAATCATCAAGCCAATTACTGCCACAAGGTCTCTGAAGGACACAACACAGAGCGTAAGGGGTACTGAAAGATAGGACTCCAATCGGGTTATTTCCTCCCGTTTATTGTTTGGTCTCAAAGCGCCCTTGTCCTGGGTTAGCCTCTAATCACCGCTTAAGCTAAGCATCTCAGCTGAGTTAGATTATTAATGCATGTCAAAGTTTCATTTCGGACTTGGAGGAAGAGAAAAACTGGTCGGATTTAAATTTCTTAAGGACAGGTTATATAGGAGGGAAGGAAAATGTTAGTTGAGGTGGTTTAAGTGTGGGACTAGTTAGTTTGACGAGGTTGTAAAGCTGGCGCATTCTTAGTGCGTACCTTAAACCCGGATCCAAAGGGACTGGAGCGTCTTCCCCAGAGACCGTCGGATGTGGGCCCTTAACTGGAACTAGTAAGTAACATCATTGTGGGAGATCATCAGAAAGAAGGAAGAAGGAAGATTAGCTTTTGTTTTGTTTTCTCACTACAAATTTCTGTTTTCTCTCACACGTGAGATAATTTTCTCTCTGGCATCTTCCATTTAATGTTCAGTTATACCCATAGCTACTTTTAAACAGCCAGTGGGACAAGCATGAGTGCTCTGAGCAGGGATGGACATAGAGAATCAGGGTGGGGAGTGCTACTTTCCAAATTCAAACTGCCGACATGTTCCTCTAACGACCTCCTGCTTTGCCCTCCCCACCAGGATTTCAGATTCATTAGGCACATGATTCATTTGATTAAAGGGAATTTATATTTCAGAGAGCTTACTATTCAGGATTTGAATTTACAGACACTTGCCAAATGGCTCTAGATAAGAAGAAAGATGGAGAGTAGAGAAAATCTGGCTGGAGAAAGGAGATAAGGAGAGAAACAGTACATCTGCAAGCGAAGTTTATGAAATAAAACTTAATGTCAGTATCTCTAGAGTTATATTTATTTGGATGCAAGAGGATTGGGGAGGATTGGCAAAAACAAATCCAGAAAAACAAAAACCCCAGAGGCTTCCCCAGGAAGTTACTCACAGCCGGGTGACTCGGGTGACTCTACTCGTTCTCAAACAGCGGCATATTTACTGGAGTACTGATTGCAGTGGGACAGGTCTTTAGACAGATCACTTTGTTCTCATCCCTGAGCCCCTCAGCTTCTGGGGCCACAGATGCTCTTTCTCTACTAGAGCAAAAACAAGAGCCTCCATACTCTTGATCAGGTTGCCCTACAAGTCACTCACCCCTCCTCTCCCATTCTCTCTCTCCATGGTGCCTTCATTACGGAGGAGATGGGGACACTGTAGGGACTCCATTTTAGAAAGGCCCCATTTACTCATGCTCCATAGTTCACTTGCATCTGAGTAAACCAGAAAATCTACGTTCATCATTCTCTGCGTTTCATCCTAGGCCCCCAAACACCTGATAACGTCTAAAAAGAACCATATCCCAAACATGTTCCAGGACATTCGCCTCAAACAAACCTCCGTGGACACTGGTATCAATACCCCACCTTCAGTAATTTATGGAATAACATCTATCATCTACCTGACACTCGCCTTAGATGGGAATCAACCCTGGATTCCTAAAGGAACACGTACCCTGGACCCCTTTCCAATATAAACCCCTAACCCCAAGCAACCAGGAGGCTCACCTCTCCTTTTCTGAGTCTCGCAGACACTCCGTCTGCTATACTGTTATCACTTACACTATTCAGTAAACCTGCTTTCACTGCCTTCTGGCTCACACAGCTGATTTCCAACTTTGGCAAAGTCAAGGACCATGTGGTCCTCGGACAGGGCCTGCCTATGTCCTTACCACATTTTAAAGCCTTTTTACCATTAGGACTTCAGGCCTTGCAACCTCTTTGTCACCCGGGGCCCTTCCCTTGCCTTCTTGTACTCCCCATTTTTCTCTCCCTGAATCCTCCCCTGGCCCCCGTCTTCCAAGTGCACGTATTTTCCAATGAATTGAAGGAAATTTTTCTTTCCATCAGATAAAGCCACTCTCATTCCTTTTCCAAATCTCTTCTTTTCTAGGACTAATTGTATTTCAATCTATCTGTTAGTGATCCAATATACCCAGGGTCAGCTTGAGTGGCGCCCGGGTATAGGAAATAAAGACAGACATGCTGCAAAGATGAGAACATTCTGCCCCCGCTCCCAAAGCTGACGGTGTGGTCCAGAGAGCCAGTCACTATGGCGCTAGTCAGAATGTGTGCCCAGTATCCCTACAGGTAAAAACAAATGCAAAGGGAAAGCAGGGAGGGGTCAATTACATTACAACTATGGGAAGTTAGCATTTCAGTTGGGCCTTGAAAGGGTGAATAGAACATAGACCAGGAACATAGACAGAGGGGAAGAAAGAAACACTTGCTCCAGGATTTGCATCGGGCCAGACACTCTTGTGAGGTAGGGAAGGTCTCACTGGAGCTACCTCTATGACCCGGGTAAGGGTCTGTCCTGTGAGATACCTCAGGACCCCCCTTCAGAAGCTGAGAAAATTAAAGAGCTACTACTGTCTAGCTATCCTGGAAAGGAAAAAGGGAGGCAATGCCTTCTGTGGATGTGTTGGAAAAGGACCCCACTGTCTATGGCAGAGGGTGCTGTTGAATGTCTTCTTCAATGATGGAAGTACTTCTCAGTCCTTGATGGGAAAGAAAACCCTATAGGTCTTCTCACACACTCTCCAAATAAACCAGGGATCTGTTCATTCGTGCAGTCATGAATCTGGTGAATGAAAGCTTTCCGGGTACCTCCTTGGAGCTGAATGAGCATGGCTGTCAGCTCAGAGAACATGAGATAGTTTCTATCTATAGGGAATCTCACAACTTCAAGAGGGAAATAGAGAAATAAACAGAAAGTCACATAAGAGCAAGAAAAATGCTACCATATGTTTAGCACAAGGTGCTGTGAGAGCCCCACATCTCAGTTTGGGGAAGACCAGGGAAGTGACATCTAGGCTCATGTGTGTGGGGTAAGTTGGACTTGGCTCGGGAGAGATTCGGAGGACCCCCTCAGTCAGGATGGGAGCAGGACATGCAAGGGCCCAGCATCTGGCCAGCTCACAAGTTTAGAAACAGCAGGTAGTATGATAGCTGGGAGTTAACATTTGAAGGGAAGGGGGGCAGAGTAGAGAAGATGGGGCTACGGAGGTTTTAGGGGTGTCAGTATCGGCAGGGGAGGTAACAGACGATGAAAAGCTTTTCATGCCATGTTGCACGGAGAGGTTTGGAGCAAATCTCCCAAGGAAATGGGGAGCTTCTGAACTAAATATTGAACCCATATTAAATCCATATGCCTCCATGATCAATTAATGTCACAAGCTTAAGGCACATACAAATGAGATAGGCAGGACTGGCTATATTATTTGCGGGGTCCTGAGCAACAGTGAGAATGGGGGTAGGGTTCTCATTTCAAAGTATTAAGCCTTCCAAGATGGTGACATTAAACCACATTTGGGCTGTTCTAAGCAGGGGACCCCGTGCTGCTGCCAGGGTCACACGCCCATGAAGCTGGCCCTGGAGATAGGTCCCATGTCTCTCTAAGAGATTAAAAAGAAAACCAACAACAACAAGAAAGGGAAAAGCTGTCAGATAACAAAGAACTGTTTCATGGAAGCTGTGATAAATGTCAATTTTATAGGAATGTGTGGAAGAAAATAAGTAGTATGTCAGATGATTCATCGAAGAATCTGGACCTTGTCCCAGCCGAGGCGGGGCGGCGGGGGGGTGAGGGAGCGCAGGACTGTAAAGGTCAGACATGGAGCTGGCTCCAGGCCTGAATTGCAGCCAAGGTGGAAGTCAAAAATTATGACTGATGTGCTCTCAGAGATGCACATAATTAATCATATATTTATTAAAGCACACATTTGGGGTTTGGTCAGGTTCTGGACGGAGGTTGTGAGAAGGAATGCATAAGACAGAATCCCCGCCACTAAGAAACTCACGAAATAGAGGGACAAAGATGGGCAGAGGGATTCATTTGTGGGAGATAGTGTGGCTAACAATAAAGCAACAGTAGTCTGATCCATGGTGATATTAATATGATACTCCAGTTTTTTATCGGCGTGTAAAGATCTGGTTATGCAATCAAATACATCTGTATCAGTTAGAGTCCAGGCAGGAAAACAGGGAACTTTCTAGAAATTCCACACAGAGAGAAGGTAATATAGGAAATTGGTTGCTGCCATAAAGTAGTTTCCAAGTGCTGTCTTGTCCCAGTTTTGTAGTCAGAGCTCAAAGCTCTCAACTCCCCCTTGCAGACAGTTTTTGCTAAGCCCCCATCCCAACTACTTCCCTTATCAGGCCCTAACACACTTAGGTTATAAGACACACTTACCCAAGGTGAGAGGCCCCAGATACCTAACACATAGGGGTGGCCCTTTCTTCCTTGGGTCTGTGGAATTTTCCAAAATACCCAATCCCCAGGGATCCCTCACAACCTAGCTAACCTCAGCCTGTTTGCCATACATAAGCTATCTCTCTCTCTCTTTTTTTTTTAAAGATTTTATTTATTTATTTGTCAGAGAGAGGGCACAAGCAGGGGGAGCGGCAGGTACAGGGAGAAGCAGGCTCCCTACTGAGCA